ACGGCTCACCTGGTCCGCGAAGCTGTCGAGCCACCTGCACTCGTTCATTGACGAGGACCGCGCGATCTTCTTCATCGAGTTCCTCGAGATGGCGCGCCGCTGGATGTGGGTGTTCCTCCGTGTCGAGTGGGAGGTCGTACGCGAGCGCGAGGTGCGCGCGGCCCTGCCCCCGGGGACACGCCTGCGAAGACGTGCGCCAGACGCCAGCGCTGAGGCAGGGTACGAGATGCTCGGTGAGAGGGAAAGTCGCGCGAACTCAGTTGAGGAGGCTGGGGCTGGGGCAGAAGCGGAGGACTGGAGGAAGTCTGTGGACAGGGATTAGCGGGATTCCAGGACGCTTTCGAGGACATTAGACATTGGGCCTCTTTGCAATTGCATTAGACTCTCTGAAGTACTATAAGTGAGTAGTCCGTGATCGCCATCGTGCTGCTACTGCACTGACGCGCATCCCAACTCGCAGGTATTGATTAATGCATCTCCCTTCGCATGGTACTCGGTTGCTAAAATCGGGCCCCGATTCGGGCCCCCGCAGTGAGACCGTCTGTCATCACTAAGTTTAGAGCACTTCGTTGCCCCCGCAGCCCCGCCAATATGCGCTGTCGACGACATTGCTTGGCACCGGGAGAGGCACGCGCGGGCCTATCAGAGGGTGTGCGCACCACTTGACGGTCGCACGACGGGGAACACCATTGGTCAGCTACACGTCAGGAATGGGGTGCGAATATCATGCTCAAGAGACCAGCTGAGACTCTAGTTGCTGAGAACGCGTCGACGTAGGCGAGGAATTTGCGTGCAATGCGTGCAACGTGTGTGCGGCTGGCCCCATTTTGAATACAACAGGCAAGGTTCTGAAAGGCACAGACCGGTGAGAGTATAGAAGCCTGTGCATGATAGACTCCGGCCCTGGCTGACGCTTTCTGTCAGCAGCGTCACGGTGGACGGTGGTAGGGCCATTACGTAGCGCCAGGACTTGTGCGAGGCAAGTCGCCTTCTTGAAATGGAGCGATGTGCACCGCTCTCGCAAAGTCTCGGGGCATCTCGCGACGAGGCCGTCTCACACCGAGCTCATCCGGCGCTCGAGCGCCGGGCGGGCTCGTAGCCCACAACGGGCGCCTCGCTTCAGCCGGTTCCGCACCCCGGAGGCAACGCTGCCGCTCCGCCGTATGTCGCGAAGTTCCCCGTGGGGCACACCTCCAGTTCCAAACACGGCTCATCGCCGGCCCCGGCGTCTCGTCTGTCTGGGACATGGCCTCCTCGGAGCCTAGCCACGGCTTTCCATATCGGCACTCATATTTGGAATTCCCTCCTTCTCCCATCGCGCAAAGCCGGCAAGCGTTCTATCAGAATATGTGCGTCTGCCCTTCATGCACAGGTACCGTTTAGCACGCAGATGGTTCCCCACATGCACTCCACGTATATAAAGCCCTCCGGCAGACTGCTCAGATCATCATCGCCCCTCCTGTCTCATCTCGCAACACATCAGCCCTCTAGCTAACTAATACCTCACTCTCCATCGTCGTCATGTTCGCAAAAGCTCGCACAGGTGCTATCCAAGCCAGGTGGGTCCACCGTACAGCGCGTTCTCAGCCGCGGCTGACGCGGTGCGTCTCGTAGCGTCCGCAATGCCCAGGCTGCCGCGTTCAGCAAGCAGGCCTCGCGCAACATGAAGATCCTCGCCATCCTCTACAAGGGTGGCGAGGCTGCCAAGCAGGAGCCCCGCCTCCTCGGCACTGTCGAGAACGAGGTTCGTGTCCTCCCGCACTCGACGCGTCTGCCGCGCTTTCTCACGCGGGACCTGTTCGCAGCTCGGCATTCGCTCCTGGCTCGAGTCCCAGGGGCACGAATACCTTGTCTCAGATGACAAAGAGGGCCCCAACAGCTTCCTCCACAAGAACATCCACGATGTATGGAGCTTTCGACCTTTGCATATCTGCGAGTGTCCCTTACGAACTTCTACAGGCTGATGTTGTCATCACGACACCCTTCCATCCCGGATACCTCAATAAGGAGCTTCTTGACAAGGTATATGATACGCGCCCGTGATCATAAGATCATTGCTAACTGGGTCATGGATAGGCCAAGAACCTCAAGCTCTGTGTCACCGCTGGTGTCGGATCTGACCACGTCGACCTCAACATTGCCGCCGAGAAGGGCCTCGAGGTCATCGAGGTCACCGGTTCGAACGTCGTCTCCGTCGCTGAACACGCGGTTATGAGCATCCTCTTGCTCGTCAGGAACTTTGTCCCTGCCCACGAGGTGCGTCCTTCGTATCTCCGTCGCACACACAGGTGGACTGACCGCGCACCCACAGATGATCAAGCGTGGCGACTGGCTCGTCTCGGACGTTGCGCGCAACGCGTTTGACCTGGAGGGCAAAGTCGTCGGCACGCTCGGCGCGGGCCGCATCGGCTTCCGCATCCTGCAGCGCCTGCAGCCGTTCAACTGCAAAGAGTTCCTCTACTACGACTACAACGCGCTCGACCCCACGCGGGAGAAGGAGGTCAACGCGCGCCGCGTCGAGGACCTCAAGCAGTTCGTCTCCCAGTGCGACGTCGTCACCGTCAACGCGCCCCTGCACGAGGGCACGATGGGCCTCATCAACAAGGACCTGCTCAAGCACTTCAAGAAGGGCGCCTGGCTCGGTGCGTGTCTCCTTTCCACCTCGCCTCGCACGCATTTTCTTTTAATTACTGACTGCGCTCTGCAGTCAATACCGCGCGCGGCGCGATCTGCAACGCCGAGGACGTCGCGGCGGCGGTCAACAGCGGGCAGCTGAACGGGTACGCGGGCGACGTGTGGAACGTGCAGCCCGCGCCGAAGGAGCACCCGTGGCGGTACATGCAGAACCCGCTCGGCGGCGGCAACGGCATGGTCCCGCACTACTCGGGCACGACGCTCGACGCGCAGCTGCGCTACGCCAACGGCACGAAGCAGATCCTCGAGAACTTCTTCCAGGGCAAGCCCCAGCTCCCGGCGAACGTCATCATCGGCAACAGTGAGTTTTTTTTTTTTGGTCTCTTTTCTGTCTTGCCAGGCGTCAGGGTGACTGACGCGGTTCTGCAGAGGGCTACGCGACCACGTCTTACGGCCAGCGGTGACGAACGGCCGTGCGGCGTTTTTGAGTTCTGTACATTATACTCTTCCTGCATCGCCATGTGTAGAACTACTAGACAATTGTAATCGAACCCTTTGGACTTCAGATAACGCTCGAGCTTCCGGACAGGTGCGGCAGGCGCTTCAGGCGCTTGCGTGTCCTACGAAGTGATTCGCGATTGTGCGGCGAGCCTTAGCAGGCGACCGAGTCTCGCAAGTCGTAAAAGCAGATGACTTCCAGCGACTGAATGGAACATTACGCGAGCCAGGTCTTATTGTGAGAATACATTAGTGGTACTACAGCGAGCGAGCGCTAGTGAGCTAAATGTTTGTACAGCGCAAGCCACAAACGTGGGACCCGGCCGAGGGGGGTGCAGAAAAAAAGGAGAACCCCTGGAAACCCGGAAACCCCGAGCGAGGGCACTACGACTCCTCCTTCTTGAGGTTGAGCGCGGCGACCTGGTCCTTGAGGAACTTCTCGAGCTTGGTCGCGTTCCGGTGGTAGGACGAGCCCTCGGCGTTGTACGTGCGGCAGTTGTCGAAGATGCGCTTCGCGTCGGCGAGGAACGCGTCGACGTTCGCGTACTGGTTCGTGTCGAGCTTGTGCTCCATCGTCGACAGGTCTGTAGGGGGCGGCGCACGTGCAGCGTCAGCACTCTGGGTAGGGCGACAAACACGGAAACGAAAGAAAAGAAGAGAGAAGGAGAGAGGGGAGGAGGAGGAAGGGCGCAGGAGAGCTCCCGCCACACCGACGCACGCACGCACCCATGGGCTCCTTGATGACGTCGTAGTAGTCCGCGACCTCGTCCGCGTTGACGGGCTTCTGAAAGGCGAACGCGAGCGTGTGGTTCTGCAGCTCCGAGAGCAGCTTCTCCATCGCGGCGTGTTCGGTGCTGCGCGCGCTGGGCCGGGCGCTGCCGTGTGTTGCGTCAGCCAGCCAGCCGTTTGTCATTAGAAAAAACCGGGGCAGGTGAGGCACAAAAAAAAGAAAGACGTACTACATGGCCATCGCTGCCGTCCATCCGCTCTCACCTGCGGAAAACGCGCGCGCGTCAGTATGGGGCGAAAAAACAGGAGCTCTGCGGGCAAGAGCGGGCGGGAGATACGTGCGTAGGCCCGGGACCTGCTTCGGGTCGAGCGGCGCGCCGCCGTCCGACGGCGACTGCGCCCAGAGGGCGGCGTCGAGGCCGGGGAACACGATGTGCGAGCGCGAGCGCTCGCGTATCTTCTCGAGGATAGCCTCACGCTGGCGGGCGACGATGTCGCGGGTGCGGGTGTAGTCGACGCGGGGGAGGAGCGTGCACTGCATGATTGTGCCGCCCTCGTAGTCCTTGATGTAGCCTGCCCAGACGGCGCGGTCGAGCGTGATGTCCTTCGTGAAGCCCTGTTTCCGGAAGTAGCCCACCGCGTAGTTGTCGGCGTACGTCAGGAAGTGGAACGTGTCCGGGTACGTCCGGCGGATGTGCGCCTTGAAGTGGTCCATGAGCATGCTGCCGTAGCCCTGTGCACGCACGCACGCGGGCCGTCAGCACGAGAGCGTAAAGGCGCGGAAGGCGCGGAGAGCGCGGCGCACCTTCACTTGGTCCACCGATGCGGTGGCGAAGAAGACGATCTCGGCAAACTTGCGGTGCGGGAAGGGCCGGTAACATATCCCGCCCACGACCTTGTACCCGCGCTTCGCGATCGCGAGGCACTTCGAGTTGCTGTCGTAGACGAGACGCGCGATGTATTCGCGGGGCATCTTGGGCAGCTGCTTCTGGAACAGCGTCTTGAGGCCCGTGAGGATCGCCAGCGACCGCGGCTGGTGGTCGTTCTCGACCGGCACGATCTTGATGATGCCCTGCCGCAGCTCCGCCATCGAGGGCTTCTCGGGCTTTACACCCGGCTGTCGGCGGCGGCGCACGGTGAGCATGTGTGTGTTGTGAGAGAGAGTGAAAAAAGTAAAGGCAGCAGGCGCCAACTCACCGCAGCAGACGTGGCCCCAGCGCCGGCATCGACCGTCACGCCCGTGACGAGCCGCGAGAGCTGGCCCGCGTCCATCTTGTCCTCAACCTTGACCGCGACGGCGTCCGTGCCTCCGCCGCCCCCACCCGCGCCATTCGTACCCGGCCGCTCCATCTCCGCGCGCTCGGCCTCCGTCGGCGGCGGCTTGTGCGCCGGCGCGGTGTGTCCCTTGGACTTTTTGCTCGACTTGCTACCTGCACCGCCGCCACCGACGCCGCCACTGCCGCCGCGAGCACCGCTGCCCTTGCCGCCGCCGCGCCGTGCGACTTTCCCGCGCGCCTTGCCGCCCTTGCGTCCCTTGCCGCTCCGCAACACAGGCGACTTGTGCGGCATCTCGGGTGATGGCTGCTGCTGCTGCTGCTGCTCTGGACGCGACGACGCAGCCGCCGCCGCAGCGAGCGGCTTCTCCTCGTCCTCGGAGGAGAGCGAGTCGGAGCTGAGCGATGAGTAGGAGACGCGCCGGCGTTTCGGGGGCGGCTCGCCGTCGCCGTCGAAGGCTTCGCTCAGGAAAGAGGAAGCGGGCGAGAGCGGGCCTTTCTCCTCGGATTCTGAAGGGACTGCGCACAGGAGTTGGTGAGAAAGTGAAGGAGCGTAAGCGCTAGGGTTGTGCGTACCCAGCGAGCCGAGAATATCGGAGGACGGGCTGTCTGCCGCCTCGGGCAGCGTCATCTGCTGTCGCAACGACTCGATGTCGTTGTTGGTGTAGTCGAAGTCGAGGAGTCGATCGTCATCCTAAGGCCAGAGGACCAGAGGAGGTCAGACGTGAGCCAGCTAGTTAGAAAGATGACTTCACAGCCAAGTACCTACAGATGAGCGTCAAGATTGGGTAGAAATAGGACAGAATATTCGCCGATGGCTCACCTGCAAGAGTTCATCAATGCGCACGGCTACACGGCCTCGGCGTTTGAACTCGTCGCGGCTGATCTGGGATAAATCCGCGCCGTGGTCTGCGGCCTCGTGTCCGCAGGCACAGCTGGAAAGGTAGCCGCAGTCGTAGGAGTCGTCCGAGTCCGGGACGAGCTCGAACATGGGCG